GGGAGGAGGAAGATTAAATATTCTCATGATGGGTATGGTGATAATAACTCACACATACAATAAATCATTTCACAGTGCCTATGTAATACCTGAATGCATTTAGAGTTATTTAATTATTTTAACTTTTCATTGATTTTTAAATGAGAATCAAATTCTCAAATTTGGAAAACTTTAGGGAAGTGTTCAAGTTTAAAAACTCTACATAAAGAAGGCAAAATGCCTATTCACTCAATTTTAAGACTCCTCTTACTTCTGTAGGCCCTTTCCCTGCCCCACCCCTGCCACCCACAGTCATTTTCACTATGCCCTGTGCTATTGGTATGGCCTCTCTAAAAGAGTGGCTATACAGCAAGCAGAGTCCTTAAGGGACAGAACTACTGTGCCATTTTAAGAGTTACTACTTTAATAACTTAGGCTACAAAACATAACTGACATTCAGATTATATATTCTAAAATATTCTGAAAGTTTAGGAAAAATGAGAAGATACAATTAACACATCACAGACTATGTTATTTTCTTTCCCAATGCCTTAAAGACAATTGTATTTGTGACATTCAGAATATAAGGTCACAAAATAATGCAATTTTTATTTATTAAAAGTTTTAATGTCCCACCAAAAAAACACTAATAAGCACAGGTCAGGTGACTCAGGTGCCAGTTCTGTCATTTAAACATTAATAATTTGAAAACCTAGAGACAAGACTTCTAAAAAGGCCTTCACAGCATGGCTTGGCACAGCCTGATCCAGGTCAGGAAGGTTAACAACCTACATGTTGTCACTACACAGTCACTGGGATGAGCTTTTACTGAGGCCGCAGTCTGATGGTTTTAACATCTGAAAAACATAATGATAGGACAGAAATAATAGTATGTTAGGAAATCAGCAAGTAATCACTCTGTTGTTTGGGGAAACAAGATCAATAGGTTTTTAAAATTCAAATGTTTTTGGTGGACAGAAAGGAATATAAAAGTGAGAAGAGACTGGAGTCAAGACAATAAGAAGGAGCTGCAACTGTAATTTAGGATGCATCCCCCACCTCACCCCTTCAAACAAATTCAGGGCCTTACTTGGCCTGCAAGGTCACCAGTTTGAGACCCCCTGACCTTTACCAGTGTCAGTCCTCCAGCCCCCATCCCCAGGATTTTTCATTTGGGGGTGGGATTCTTGATCCTAAAAGAGACAACTGCTCAGAGCAGAGTAGTTTAACCATTAAAAGAGATATGGTAGTGGGCAGGCAGGTTAACAGTCAGTGTTGTGTAAAGTTTAAAAATGTTCTAACCCCAACTGGAGTATCAGTTAACACAGGAATAGGAGCATTGTGATTTGAATTACAGAATTCTGGCTCCTTAGACACCTCCCTTAGTAGGGACTGGATTGGGAAGGCAGGGTCAAGAGGCCCCATTCCTAAAACCAGGAAGGACCCATAGCATAAAGCTATGCCACTTAACTTAGGACAGATACCATCTTTACACATGAGAGTGTAAAGAGAGTTCAGTGTTAGTCATTTGGAATTAAATACATTTGATTAATCTTTGACTCTTCATAATGACTTAAAATTTCTATCCCTCAAACACACCAAAGAGCAATAGTAGCCAAAAACTGACACGCATTAAATATCCCATTAGAAAATGATACTTCATTAAGCAACTCCTGTTTACATTTCCAAATGTCCTATTTTCTTACAATGCACTATACGTGAATTGCAAATTATATTAATGTGCACATTTTTGCCATCGTTTTGAACTTCTTTAAAATGTAGAAACAGAATTTCCAATGACAAGGAGGGTCAGGGTGTCAAGATGGGTAAAAAGGGAGTGAGAACTTAATGAAAGCTGTAATTATTATAAGCATATGTCATCTGGAAATTATATACTTGTTGGGGTGTGGGGAGGTGATGTGTTGAGATTTTGGGAAGCCAAAGCTCCCACAGTCCCCTGCAACAAAATCCTGGCTTATAATATATGGAACAAGGTTTAAAAATTCCATTTAGATAGAAACATAAATATGGTATACCTAACTGGCAGTAAGGTATAAATGTTTCATATTGCTGTTTAATATTGCCAGCTAAGGTCCTCAATCTCTATTTTGTAATGTGACCAGTTTGTTGCTTTACACAAATTTTAAATATGAAAATTCCACACCATTAAATCATCTACTTGCTTCAACTTAAATAGTTTTTGCTTTTTAGTTTTAAAAAAAGCTAATTATTTTGAATATTTTAAATTAAATTAGTTGTTATGTATTATAATTACAGCTTACATTATTGGAGTTTAAAATACATTTTTAAAACAGATCCTGTTAAATGTGATTTAAGGTTAAGCAATACTTTGGACAACCCAGGAGAGCAAAGCACCATAGGAAAAAGCCAGGAACAAGAAGCCAGAAAACACTAAGGAAGACACTGAATAAACCAACTTACTCTGGTCATTTAACACATTTAACTAATGTCTACCATGGGCCAGGCACAATTACTAAATATGTAGGCTGGGCTAACCCCCTAGAGTTCCAAGAAGAAAACTCCAGTTTCATAGGCATGCAGATAAACACCTTATCCTCTCTCAGAGGCCAAGCCAGCAGCACCAGTAAGCCACTTAGAACTCCTGTGATACACAGTTCCAAGTTGCTCATTTTGCCCGTCAACGAATCTGACTCCAAGAAGTTCCTACCAAAAAGGTCCACAGTGTCTCAAAACAAAAACAAAAAACAAAACTAAGTGTGTAAATAATTAAAAAATTTTTCATTTCTGGTAAAAATTCTTAGCTGTACTGCCCTTAGAGGTGCCAGCCGTGTCAGTTTAGAAGCACCCTTTATAACCCACTATCAGGAGTTTAAATTGTGGTATTATGTTATTAAACATATGCAAAGCACTTATAAAAGTGCTTATAAATGCCATGTATAATTACTATTGTTGTTAATTCTTTTAACTTATTATTCTTATATTTGTTAGACACTAGTGGATAAAGAGCAAAGCCCGCGCGGCAGTGAAACCACAGTAGAGCAGGGCTGTACAGCAAGGATCGGATAATGCAGGTGCGCAAGTGCGCAGGCGCTCAGGAACGCAGGCGCAGAGGAGATGGGATGAAAGGGAGGGGCTGGGGTCTTGCACTGCGCAGGTGCAGGCGGGCTCTGGGGAGGCGGGGGCCACATGCCATCTCAGAGGAGGCTGGCTCAGGGAGGGGCCAAGCTTTGGAGAGGCAGGGTCTAGACAAGGCACCCCATAGGAGGTAGGCTCTGGGAGAGGCAGGGCCTGGGGTAGCTCCCCCATAAGAGGCGGGTTCAGGGGAAGGCGGGGGCTGGGGGAGCCGCCTCAGAGGAGGCGGGGCTCAGGGGGAGGCAGGGCCTGGGAGGCAAAGTCTAGAAGGCGCGCGCTGGGAAGGCGCGCTGCAGAGGCGGCGGCTCTGAGTAGGCGCTGGGAGGCGCTAAGCCCACTTTGAGCAGATACTGCAGAGAAGGCGCACTACAATGGGCGGGGCGGGCCGAGACTGGCTGCATGCCTCTCCCAGGATCACCTCCTCCCAAAACCCCTCCCACCAGCCTGCAATAGCCAGATTCATTTCATGCAACAAGAGCAGTCCACCCCCAAATCCAATCCCCCCTCCAACACTAAGGAGCACCAACAGTTTTCACAAACTGTTGCTGGACACCACTTCCCGCCACTACAACTACACCACTTCAATCAAATGCAACTAGGCAAAGCAGCCCGCCCTGCCGCCACCAGGATTCCCCTTTTACACTTAACTCAGCACCCCTCCACTCCACTCTATAGCAGGAATGGTGTGCGCAGAATGTTAAACACTAATATTTGCCTGGGGCTCCATTTTGTCTTAACAGCACCATAATGCAGAGAACCGTCCTGCAGAAATACAGAGTGGGAGCCATTCCAAAAGGTGTGCTACAGACAAAGGGTGGGGTCTCTAAGACAGAGTAATCTTTGCTGCTCGTTTCCCTTTAGATTTTTTTGTAGCGCAAAAGTGTAGCTTGTGTGCCTCTGCAGCTGTTATTACTTTGTAGCGCTTTTAAGGTGTAAATTTTCTGCAGCTCATGTACCTCTGCAGTTCTTGTGCCTTGTAGCGCAATAAAGCGCCGTTATAGCGCTAATCTGCAGCAGCTCAGATTTCGTAGCGCATTTAACACGTGAATCAGTCATCAGTCTGTAGCTCATATATCGCTGTTCATACTCGTTTATAACGCATTGAAACGCTCATTAGTTCCTAGTGCCATTGAAGCTCCCATCAGTTTGTAGCGCACTGAAGCACCCATCAGTCTGTAGCGCATTTGAAGCGTTATCAGTTTGTAGCGCATCGAAGTGCCAATTAGTTTTTAGTGCGTATCACTTTGTAGCGCGTTTGAAGAGCAAATTGCAAATTGGTCTGTAGCTCAGGTCCATCTGCAGCTCATGGTCGGTCTACAGTCCTTATCTGGACTTGGGTCTTGGAAATCAAAGCCCTGAAGGCTTGGTTTTCCACCCTGTTTTGGGGTACAGCCAGTGAAGGCGTGACAAGATTTGCGTGGAGACACTCAGGGACACTACTCCATCTCCCGCAGCTCCCGATAAAAACAGGGAATAAATGTGATCTTAAAAAAAAAATCCTCACCGCATACTCACCACGCGAGGACTCCTCTGCGAAGACAGGACGGACGGGATCCCACACCTATGCCACGCGTGGGTTCCGCTGGGTGCTCTGCAGCCCGGAGTGGCTCCGGACGAGAGCCCGCTCAGCGGACCTTTCGCGAGGCTCGGTGGACCCTCTCTGCTGTTCTCCCCAGGGCGTAGTCAGGGTTCTTCGACACACACCAATCGAAGTTGAAGCGCGTGTACCCGGAGCGGCGACTGGGAGCCTTATATAGGCTGAACAGAGGAGGGGGGCGCCAAATCCCAGCGTGCTCCGCGGGTTAGGGGGGCGGAAGGGAGCGGGGCGGGCGGGGGGATGGGGTGTGGGGGCTGGGGCGATGGCCATGCTACACTAGCCCGCCGCTAGAGGGAGTACGGGATTAAGGAGCGGGTGCAGGATGCTGATGCTGAACTGGCCAAGCTGGAAGGAAAGAAGAAAGGGAGGGGAGGGGAGAATCGAGGACGGACGGCCTAGCCAGGCCAAGAATGCAATTGCCCTGGTGGTGGGAGCTGGGAGACCCTTGTGCTTGGACGGGACAGGGTCGGGGGACACGCAGGATGAGCCCCGCGACCACTGGCACCTTCTTGCTGACAGGTTAGTGGCCCGCGCGCGACTGGAAGTCCTGGAGCCAACAGGCCGCCTCCCCATCCCCCTGCCCGGGTTTTGGGTACCGGGTGTATTTTCGGGGCATCAACTCTTGTTGCCCCCGTTCCCCCTGCACCACCCATCCAGGATACTCAGCATCCCACTTCGAAGGTCCTGTGCGTCCCATTCCAGGCTTGACCCCTGGCCTTTTCTTCTCCGCGCCCCCGCGGGCCCCTCCCTGCATGGAGAGCGCAGAAATTCCATTTCCAATTTACATTCCTAACCTCCCCCCACCTGACACCCACCCTCCCCAGCTGGGGCGGTGGACCTTTCCCGATCCCCGCAGCAAGAGCTGAGGGTCATTGCCCATTTTTCTGGGGGTGGGGCAGGCATTGCCCGCAAATGGGGCTCTGCGGCCCAGAGGAGAGCCATAGAAAATGGATGTCAAGCTGCGTCCACTTCTACACAAACATGTTTTTCCCTTTTTTTTGAATCCGATGGGGAGAGAACAAAAATACGCGTTTAAAACACCCAATTCTCCCTTTTTTCTAAGTGCACTTCTCGGCAGCGGAAATCTCATTTTTCTTAGGTTTTACAGAGCAGGAAAGCGGGATTATGAATTGCTGAGGGCTAAACGGAGCATTCAGGTCAGCGGTAACCCCAGTTTGGGGCCGGAGACGCTGCAAACAGTACCGTTTGCCCTACCAAGTGCACTATTTCGAGAAAGCCAAAACAAACGCAGCTGTGGATGGCTCCAATGTGCCTGGCGGGCTTCAGAGACTTCCAGCTCTAGGCTTTCGGTGGTGATTACGTGGTTTATGCAGAGACCTAGCTCTCCCTGCAGCGTTACATTTTTCTAAACCTTGTAGAGTGAATGAATACATTTTATTCACGGTAACTGCGCGTTTAAGCCTTTCAAGCCTGTTGCCGATAGTCGGCCATAAATATTTGTGTTTACTTATGCACATAAACATACATATTTTAAATTACAGAAAATTGCAATGAGTTAAAGACTCCAAAATATTGATGAGGAAGGATGCCGTAGGAAAAAAAAGCCTTAACGCAGATTTCCTTTTAAGTGCCTCAGAGTGTTAGGCTCTGAGAAAATGAACAATCTGTTGATAGTTTTAATAAAAGAAGTTTAAGTAGAAAACCAAATTGTCTACAGCTGAATGAGGTTCCTGAAACACTCATGACACACATTAGTATTTGAAGGCTAAAACTGAGCCTTAGTAACACTGCTGCAGGTTATTTTATGCTTTAGAGGATAAATAAGAATTTGACCCGTTGTAGATGGCAGGGTAGTAGGGATCATACTTAAAGCGAACCTTTCTAAGAACAAACAAAAGGGTGGCACATTTACTGAGATTTTTGCTTTTTTATCAGAAATAAAATATTAACCATTAGATAAATGAAGTGCAGATTTCCAACAGTGAAAGATAGGAACTACGGTGAACACAATTATACTTTCTTGAAGTGCCATTTAATCTTTAGGCTGTTCACCGTTTTCTGCAGATAGACCAATTTCAGGATCTCTTGTGTTTGCTAGAGTACTGTTTTGGTAACCGCCAGACTGTCAGATTCTTATAATTCTTTTTTATCCATTAAAGTTACTTCACCTCGTTGTTAATTGACACATCCTTTTTTTCTAAAAAAGTGAACTTAAAAACCAGTATAGATACAGGGAAAATTCAATTTTAAAAATCTATCTCAAAGACTTTCAAAGTTTGAACAACATTCAACCAATTGGATATTTTATTTCAAAATGTTAACCAGGATATTTTTGGTAAAAAAAAAAACTTTCATATTATTCTTATCATACCTAAAGTAATTTCTATTCATTGTACAAAATTCAAGGGAAAACATTCCAGAAAACTGGAAAAAAATCAAAAAGAAAATCAACATCACCTGTAACCTCTTCATCCTGAGCTAACTAGTAAACATTATAGAGTCTACTGTTTTGACTTTTTCTTTGCATATATATGTGCCTAAATACATATATGCATTTCATAGAGTTGCATATGTGTAATTTCTAAAAATTAAAAGTGGAATCAAATTAATTTTCCTCCATTTCTTTTCAAGGAGGCTTAACTGTCAAATAACAAGTTTGCAGTTTTTTTTTAAAGAAAGAATATTAATTACCTTTCTAATTGAAAGTTGAAACAACATTAATACATAATTATTTAAAACCAGAGAACTGAGGAGGATATCCTCTAATCTCATTATTCTAACATATTCTAAGAAATTTTGGTGTATTTCCTTGCATTTTTTTATTTCTCTACATATGAAATAGTTTTTATTTGGTTTAGAAATAAGATTTTCTAAGGGAAAAAACCAACACCAATAGATAAGTAGTGTTGATAAAACTTTTTAAATCTAAGACAACAAAATAGTATTAAAAATAAAACCAAAAATACAATGTTAGTAGAGAAATACTTTAGATAACATTTTTGTATTACCCCAAACAACAAAGCAACATTAAAAACCTCCATCTAAAATTATAGGTAAGAATTTTAAACACTTTTTGACATTTAGTATTACAAGTGAATTTTGGATTTTCTCAGTTATTTGTTCCCAGTGTTGACTATTACTTATTATTCACAAGATTACTTGTAGAGCAAAAAGGGGTGCTAACGTACATTATTTATTAAGGTACTAATGTTCATTATTTACATTGTCAAATAATAAGTGGGTAGTGTATTTGGACATCTAAATCCATTTTCATGAGAAATTTGCTGTGGCTCTATGAAGCTGATGTTTTACCATCTGTATTTAACTTCTAGTATAGAGGGAAAATACTGTTTCAGAACAAAGTGGGGTTTTTACTTGTCCAATAATAACTGGACTTTCTAGTTAGACATTTTATCTATGTTAAGTGACAGTATGCTGTGTGTGGATCAATGAACCTGCTGACTTACTGCATGCATTGGCTTAACTCATAGTGTGGTAGGGAAATCTATTTCTAAGCAAGGTGAAATTTTCAGTTGTCAAATACTAACTGAACTTAGGATATGATCATTTTATCCACTTATTATAAGAGTTTGCCATAAATCTAAAAGCTGTTGGTTTGCCTCATATATTTAGCTTAACTTCTAATACAGTGGACGAATTGTATTTCTAAGCAAAGTGAAATTTTCACTTGTCTCTCAGATGTTGAAAGTAGCAAGGGACAGCACCAGAGAAAACTGCTGAGATAACCTCAAAGAAATAAAGATAACGTGCATCCAGTTTCTAACAGTGGTTTTCTACTTAGGAAAACCATTCTCTAAAGAAAATGCTGGAGCAGTGAAGAAACCCTGACATGTTAAATTCTCAAATACACAGATTGTTTGGGATTCTAATAACTGAGGATATCCTCTGATCTCACTGTTTTACAATCATCTAAAAAATTTTGGTTATTTCATTGCATTTTTTTATTCCTCTACATATGAAATGATTTTTATTTTGCTTACAAATAGAATTTTCTAGGGAAAAAACCAACATCAATAAATAGTTTTGATAAGACATTTTTCTAAAACAATAAAATATTAAAAATAAAAACAAAAATATGATAGATATTGGAGATCACATTTTCTAAAGAACCAGCTCTTTCTTTTTCTGTTCCCTGTTCTTAAAACTTACCCTTACTTAGTTCTAAACACCAAAGTGCAAATTCTGTCACTGATCTTATTTCTTACTATTATTAGTGTAAAAAGGACTCTAGGTGAGGACATGATGTGGGTTTATATGTCCATTAGAGATTGTTGGGCCAGATTATTATTTTAGACCAGAGCTTCAGAGAAATATTAATATGATGATTTTTTTTCTTTCCATCCTTTCCAACCTCTCCGTAGACAGAGAGGGACAAATGTGATTGATAGACAGACAGACATGGACAAACACATACACAGAACATCCAGGCTTTTTCTAAACTTCAGGATCCAATTCTCCCATCTGCTATCAACCTGATTTCCAGAAACTTAAGCCAAAACAGGAATGAGAAATGAAAAAAAAAGACAAACTAGTGTTTCTAAGTATCAACAAGTCTTTTCAAATGAGTATTTCTCCGATTGGGTTTTTAGATTGGTGGGATCAGATAGAGTGTCAATGCCCTCAAAGCTGTTGCACGTGAACAACTTTCCAAGCAAAAGTCTGTCAGCAAAAATCCCCGTATCTTCAATTTTTTTAAACAATGTAACTAGTTTGACTAGAAGAAACATTTCCATCCATGCTCCTTCCTCGTTCTAGTCTTTGTTCCGTGTGCATATATATTTTACATGACTAATTATAATGTGTAGATTTTTTACACTTTGTTTTGAAAGATAAGTGAATCTGTCTTTCAGCGAAGCATCTGTCAAGGCTGTAGGCTGTTCTTGTGTGTGAGATGGGGTGTAGAACTAGCAGCATTTCTCTGTGAGCGTGAGGCAGGCTGAACCAGCACTTCCCCAGGTCTATAAGTTCCTGGGCTTGGGTCCGGGAGTAATCCCTGGTGAAGGATCATAAGCCTTTGCCCTGGATCTTCTCTTCTCTAACATTTTTATGAATGACTTTGTTGAAGATCTAGGAGCTTGCTTTAAGATCCATGGATAACATGAAAAGGAATAACTGTTACAAAGAGATAACAGAATTTAGAGTTAACATAGTTTAAATAGGCTGCAGTGCTATGCAGAAAGATATTTTATAGCAGTAAATGCATCATCATTGATGGGTAAGGAAGAAGTTGAATTTATATGCTGGCAATTTTTTAAGGAAAAGGTTAATGTGAACCAGCGGCATGATGTGTCTATAAAACAATCAAATTTAGATTCTGGCAGTAGTATAGTGTCTATATGTCACAATAATTAATAGTACCTTACTCTAATTAACCACATCTGTAGTATTGTGTCCACTTCTGGCTGTCACATTTAAAGAGAGACATTGATTGACAAATTAGACAACTTCCAGAACAGTCCGTGGGGATTGTGAGGGGTTTGACAATCCTGTCATAGGAGGTATCCTCAAAGAGTCTGGAAATATTTAGTTTTAAGACT